TATATATATATATAGAACTTATTTATTTTAATTATATATAGTAATTTTTATTATTTATAGAAAATTCTTTTATTTTATGTAGTATTTTCTAAACATATCTTTTTTAAAAGATATTTTATAATATTGATTAAAAAAGTATAATTTTATTAGTATATACCTCGTTAGTATATACATGAAATATTATGAATAATAATCCTCTTAAAATAACGTCTCTTAATATAAATAATTTTTCAAGTTGATATTAATAATTAATATATTGTTATGGAAATTTTACAATAAAAGTTTTTTGCAATAATTTTTCTTAATATTTATTTCTATCGAAGGAAATAAATTTTTATTTTTTTCATTTTTAATTCAAACTTCAATTGTTATTAAAAAGATTTAATGATTGTTTTAAAAACAAATCGAATGATAAAAATAATATTAATAATTAATAATATTTCAAAATTTAAAAAAAATAGAAATATATAAAAGAAATTTTTAAAAATTGCAATATTAATAATACGGAAGATTAGTCGTTCTATTTGTCACATTTTAATTCATAAAATTCATTTTATCACATTCATGAAATTTGTCCATAAATGTTAGAAATGTAGTTTGTTGATATTATAAATAATTGTTTAATAAAAAATCAAAATGAAAATATTAATAGAAATATTATATACTTATTATTGAAAAATTGAAATTAAGAAATAAAAAAAAATAATGGAAAAAAGGAAGAGAAAGCGCTAGAAAGACAAGAGACTTAGATACTTACAAAAAAGATTTCGATTATCTGAAATATTCATTTCAGCATTTGAATCAATATGAGAGTTTGTATATCTTCATTCATATGTTTTAAAATAATTTAATAATAATTATTAAATTCATAAATAGATATCTTAATTACAAAACATTCATTAGCGAACAATAATTTCTGCAAATATTGCAAAATTTATATGTGTGTGTATATGTATATATATATATGTGTCTCAACAAATAAATAACAAATATCTTGTTATATAAATTTATTATAATATCATAAATCTTTTTTTGAATATATTGAACACATATCTTTCATTATATATATAATTTATTATAATATATTTTTTATCTAACGTTTAAAATAAAAAGAGACGATTAAAAGTAAATCGCGCCATTATTCGCTTACGCGTACGTTTTTTCTGGTATGTGACGTATTCTGTGACAATCTGCTTATTCAGCTGTAGAAAGAATAATAACCTCCTACTAGAAATATTGCTTCGTAATATATAATTAATATAATTAATCATTAATAATTACACAGACCAATTACTATATATATTTGTATATTGTATATTATGTATAACATTATATATACTATATAATAATATATTTTTGTATAAGAATGTATAAAATAAAAAATACAAACAAAATATTTGTTTAGAAAAGATGGAAATAATTTGTATAATAAATGAGAAAAATTCGTTTGAAAATAGTTAAAGAAAAGAAAGATCCAACGACGAATCATTGCGAGTCATGATATTGTATGTTTAAAAAGAACTATATTTCGTAATAGATAAACAAATTAACATGATTAACATGATGCAAACTAACATGTTCTGCAAGCATATAATTCGTCATGCAAATTCGAACGTAGCTGTGAAAAAACATTGCTTTTTGTCACGATT